AAAGTGAAAGAATGATGGTAAGAGGATCAGATGGTGTTTAGATGGAAGGGATATAGATTTTATAAGAAGTTACAAAAGCTAAAAGCCAACATCGAAGCTTGGAACAAAGAAGAGTTTGATAGAATTGAAGACAAAAAGGAGGCTATTATTAGATGGATTCAAGAACTTGATGCTACTAAGGTAGAGAGAGGATTGGGGCTTGAAGAAAGGGAAGAGAGATGGAAGTTGAAACAAGATTTGGAGGAAATTCTTAGAAAAGAAGAGATAAGCTGGAGACAAAAATCAAGATACAAGTGGTTGAAGGAAGGAGATGGTAATACAAGATTTTTCCATAGTTTGGCAAGTGGAAGAAAGAGGAAGAACATAGTAGAAAGTTTGGAATGGAATGAGGCACTGTTGACAAGAGAGGAAGAGATTGCAAAAGCTTTTGTGGAGCATTTTAAATCCATTTATGACAGCCCTAGTAGAGTAAGAGAGACTCTAACCGACTTTGAGTGGCATGTTGGCGAAAGGGAATTGTTGGAGCCCCTGGAAAGACCGTTTGAGGTTCAAGAAATAAAGGAAGTAGTTTTCTCTATGGAAAGATCAAAAGCTCCGTGCCCGGATGGATTCACTATGGCTTTTTATCAAGACTTTTGGGATATCTAAGGTGATTATCTAGTGGAGGTTTTCTTGGAATTCCTTGAAAGAGGAAAAATAAACGTGGGTGCAAATGCTACATTCATAGTTTTGATCCCTAAGAAGGTGCCTGTAGTTCAGCCTGAGAACTTTTGACCTATTAGTCTGATTGGGAGTTTGTATAAAGATCATTTCTAAAGTTCTTGCACTAAGACTCAAGAAAGTCCTCCCTTCCTTAATCTCACCGAATCAAGGGGCCTTTGTGAAGGGGAGACAAATTATCGATCAGATTTTAATAGTCAATGGATGTGTGGATTACAAAAAAAGAAAAGGAGAAAATGGTCTGATCTGTAAATTGACCTAGAAAAGGCTTATGATTTGGTGGATTGGGATTTCTTGTTAGAAGTGTTGATGAATAGAGGCTTTGGGGAGAGATGGTGCAAGTGGATGAAGGGTTGTATTACCTCATGTCACTTCTCAATCTTAGTGAATGGAGTAGCTAGGGACTTCTTTCCTGCAAAGAGGGGCCTTAGACAAGGAGACCCTTTGTCACCTGTCCTCTTCACCTTAGTATGGATGTCCTAAGTGTATTGATTTCTAGGGTTGATTCAAGAAATCTACTAAAAGGTTGGAGAATTGGGAGGCAACAAATGATTGTCATTCACCTACAATTTGCGGATGATATCATTCTCTTTTGTGAAGGGGAAATTGAGGAGATGCATAATTGGAGATTGGTGGTGATGCATTTTGAGGGAGTCTCCAATATGAAAATCAATTGGAACAAGACTTGTGTAGCGGGGGTGAATTTACGGGAAGATGAGGTGCATTTGGTGCTAGGGCTTTATGGTGCGAGGTAAATGGTTGGCCTCTAGTATATTTAGGTCTGCCCCTGGGGGCAAATCCTAGAGCAAAAAGCTTTTGGTACCCATTTTTGGAAAGATTCACTAAGAAGCTAGCAGGGTGGAAGAGAAATTATATCTCACTAGGGGGTAGAATCACTTTAATCAAGTCCACTCTGGCCAACCTTCCGGTGTATTTTTGTCTACCTTCAAACTTCCTGCCAAGGTTGCCAATAAGTTAGAAAAGCTCGTGAGAGACTTTTTATTGGAAACCGGGTGACTCAAAAAAGTACCATTTAGTGAAGTGAGAAATAGTTTCTTGGAAAATGGAATCGGGGGGTCTAGGCATTGGCAATATCAAATTAAGAAATGTTGCTTTATTAGGAAAATGGTTGTGGATATTTCCTTTGGAGCAGGACAGTTTGTGGCACTTGGTGGTGGAAAGTATTCACGGGATGGCAGCCAATGGATGGGATGTTGGCGTCGACCCTAGGGCTTCTCATTTCTCCCCTTAGAAAGCAATTATTTGGAGTCTTGCCTTCCTTTCAGCCTTTCATCAGATTTGATGTGTGCTCAGGTAATAAAATTCTATTTTAGTAGGACCTTTGGCTTGGAAACACCCCCCTTAAGGATTGGTTCCCGGTAATATATTTTCTTTCCCTAAATAAATTCAAAACCATCTCCTCACTTCATGTGTTTGAGGGGACTTGTTATTTGGCTTTGAGAAGAGGGTTGAAGAATTCGGAATTGGCTTCTACAGATGAGTTGTTCACTGTGTTGAGTTCAGTTTTTCTAGATCTTTCTTGCTCAGACAGTAGAGTTTGGAAAGAGTCTTCTTCTATTGCATCTGTCTCCTTTCCTGCTAAAGAAGTTTGGCATTCTCCTGTGCCGCCAAAGGTTAGGGCTTTTTTGCTAGGAAGTGGATCTTCAAAAGACCAATACTATGGATGTACTTCAAAGAAAAAGACCAGACTGGTGCCTTTTCCCACATGTCTATTACCTTTGCTTAAGAAATGGTGAGACGGCGATGACTCATCTTTTGATTTCTTGTCGTTTTACTTCTTATTTGTGGGATTGGTTCTATTCTTTGCTTGGTTGCAGATGGAATCCCCCCTCAGGTGTTTCAACCTTTTTGACTCTAGTTTCTTCCGACAACCAAGGAAAAGAGGCAGGGTAATGTAGAGAATAACAAGAGCAGCCATCCTTTGGTCAATTTGGGAAGAAATAAACAATAGGATCTTCCTAGGGCAAGAGAAATCCAAGGAAGCACTTGTTGAGGTTGTCACCATCAAGGTTATGCATTGGCTGAAAGTACATCATCTCTTCAAGGACTTCTCCTTAGCTGACTTAATAAGAAGTTGGAGTGCTATAGCTGTATCCTCTTCTTCCTCCCCTGTGGTACAAGAAAGTTGGATACCACCGCCTCAGCTTAGGGTGAAGCTACTAAACTTTGATGGAAGCTCCTTGGGTAATCTAGGTCAGTCGGAAGTTGGGGGTGTGTTCAGAAATGAGGAAGGAAAAGGCTTGGCCCTTTACCCGGGCCCGATTGGGGTGGGAGATTCATTAAGGGCAGAAGTAGTGGCCTTACGTCAAGGTTTGAGACTGGCGAAACAATGGGGAATGGCAACAATTAGAAGTGGAAGGAGACTCCAAGCTGGTAATAGGGTGGATGCAATCTGGAAACTTGGGAGTTTGGTCTCTTAGACAGCCTCTAAGAGAGATTATTAGCYTARYAAGGGAGATTGGGGTGCACTTTAAATGGGTAAGAAGGTCAGCAAATGGAATGGCTGACACTTTAGCTAAGCAAGGAGTTACTAGGGAGGCTTTGTTTTGGGCTTGTTTGTAAGTTTTTGTTTTTTTCCATCCATTTTGTTGGTGGTAAGTCTGTAATCCTTTCAATTCTCTAATGAAAGTTACTGTTTCCTATAAAAAAACTTATAGGAATAGTATTTGATCTGCAAGAAGGTCTAGGTGAAGAGAAAAGGATTTCCCCCAAATTTCTTTGCATATCATAAGTAGTTATGCTAATGATTGTACCATGACCATCCACCAGCCATACAAATTTTCCTCTTTTAATTTTGTCACCATTGAATTACTGTTACTTACACCGTCTTTCTTATTAACAACGTAACATTTATTATGTATTCTCTATGTTACAAGCAGCTGATTGCAAAATTCCAATTTGCAAAGAACCCCTCCATAACAAGACCATCCTTATCTCTAAGCACCCCTTCAATACCAGATTGCAAATGAGCTAAGAGTGGAGAATTTGATGATTCAAAGTGAATCTTAGGCGGTGGTGGGATGATTGGAGGATCTCAGTCTATCTCTTGGTGCTACAGGGATGAAAACAAGAAATTCAAGTGGTTAAACAAGAAACATGAATTTTAGTTTACAATGGGTGGGAAGATCAGCTAATACTATGGCTGATTACTTAGCCAAGCAAGGGGAAAATAGGGATCAGCTATACTGGGCTCAGTTGTGATTTGTATTTCCAGTTTTTTTATTTTCCTGTTTGGAAGAGCTCACAGCTCACACCTTTCCAAGGGCTGCTTGTAATGGTTGATTCTCTTGATTTTAATAAAATTGTCTTTCATGTATAAAAAACAACTGATTACAAAAATAAATAAATAAATTTAAGCAAAAAAATGTTCCCACATGTTTTCCTGCCAAAAAAAGAAAAATTAACAATCCTTATGGATGCGCACCTTCAGCAATGTTCTAACAAATTGAAGCTTTTTAAAATTTTCATGCGATGAGTTTATTCTGCTCCATGCTCTGGCAGTCTGGTCCCACAATGTGACCTGGTTGTATTGTGATGTCAAACTCTAGAATGGGTGTTATACTTTGACATCTATGATCTATTTTTGTATTCGGAAAAAAGCGTTTCATTATGAAATCAGAAAGGACAGTGAAATTATATAGATAGATAGTTCTAACATTTTGACGAGAGTGTTTAAACCTCTTCTTGTACAAAAAAATGCATATATGTATCTAGACATCTAGGTGGGTGCATTGCAGACATGCATTTTGTGTTGAATCTATGATTGTTCCTTTATGTTTCTATGTCTGCCAATAATTTCTTCAGAATTATTTTCCTGCATTAGTTCATTTTGGATATTGTACTGTTTCATTGTCACCTTATTTTTTTGGAATAGGAAGATTTTGTTTTGACAAATAGAATAAGAAGAATTTTATCAATTGCTTGGGTTGATTTTGGTTTGTAGAAGCATTCTGTCACTCTGATCACCTCAAAATCTAGGATCTTTCTGGGTGTTTTATTTGATATTGTGTGTATTCCTACGTATAGGTTTAAGCCTAGATTCTGAGTTTTCAATATCAACTGTTGTCCCAAGTTGATAGTACTCATGCTTGAGATGCATATATGTTTGTTAGTATACCATCAATTTAATCTAAGTAGCTATATGATTTTCATGTAATTGGTTGAAACCACTCTGTCAAAACTCTTTTAAACTAGAGTTTTCCTCTGGTATGTTTTTTTATTTATTATATTGTTTTTTTTTTTCAAAATTTGAAATTCAGTCCTTGGAATGAAGCTCCATATAAGGATGCTGCAGGGAAGACCGCACTAGATGGGTTATCATTTGATGGATTTCTGTCCCAGGTGCATATCTCCATACAATTTCTTTTCTTTTCTTTTTTTATTTCATCTGGTTACAATTTAGATCAAAATTTCCACCTTCTTTCTATTATGTTTGTTGTAAATTAATGTTGGTAAGCATTGTTTCAGAAATTTTGGCACCATTGATGCTTGCTTTCTTTCCCTGCATGTAGGATTGATGAGAACTGTGCAACTAATTCACATGGGTGTTTTGTTTTCATGTGGTCATTTTATGAAGGGAAAAGTAATTTACAGCTTGATCATAGCAACAGTACCCTTTCTGATTTTCTGCATATCCAAGGAAGACACACTTCTTTGCCGCTTCGAACGGTGAGGACCAAGAATATGTGCAAAACACACACACCCAAACACTTTGACAGAAATATCGAACATCTCCCCCTCAAGAAAAAAGGAGCTTGAATGGGGTGCTGAATCCAAGTATAAGGCAGGGCACCCTATTAATCAAAAATACTGGTATGGGAACTGCATCACCCCAAAACCGAACTAGAATTGTGGATGTGATCATCATGCTTCTTGCAATCTCAACAATGTGTCTGTTCTTCCTTTCTTCCACACTATTCTACTGTGGACTATAGGGACAACTGCTCTGATGGACAACACCATATTCTAACAGATATGAAACAAGGTGTTTTTCAAAATATTCCCTGGCATTGTCTAATCTGAACACCTTTATTCGTGTTCCAAATTGTGTTAACACCATCTGATGAAATTGCCTTATCAAGGATGGTGCCTCATCTCGGGATCTCATCAAGTAAATACAAGAATATCGAGAGAAATCATCCACAAATGAGAGAAAATATTGATAACCACTCATAGAAGGAACATGATAGGGTCCCCACACATCAGAATGAATAATATCAAACGGAGATGAACATCTTTTATTACTGGCTTTAAAGGAATGTCTATAATGCTTTCCAAGTTGACAACCTTAACACTCCAGACTTGACAAACTAACAGACTAAAATTGCTTTGGAACAAAAGGCTCAAAGAAGAAAAAGGCAAAAGACCTAAGCGATTAATGCAAAGCATAATCTAACTCACAGACCCTGACTCTCTACCCCTGCTGACATGATGGCTTATGAGGAGGAAGCACATCCATGAGGTAGATTCCATTCACTTCATGACCACTCCCAATCGTCCTCTTTGAATCCAGATTCTGCAAGATACAATGACCAGGAGGAAAAATTACTGAACAGTTCAAGTTCTTAATCAAACTACTAACAGATAACAGATTAGTACTAAATTTGGGAACATGAAGTATAGAGGGAAGGTAAATGTAGTCACTAATCTTGATAGACCCCTTCCCAACAATGGGAACATGAGATCCATCAGCTGTGGGTCATGTGCTCTGAGGCTCCAGAATCTATAATCCAAGGAGGTCCCTCCTTACCTGAAGTAGAAACATAATTTGCAGTGGCATGTGAACTACCTGTGTGTGCAAAGGAAGTAGAGTGTGCTCCACCAGAACCACCTATACCTGGCTGTCCACCTGTTGCTGAACTAGAACTGGCTGTATCTCGCTAGTTCAGAAACTGCCCATACCTTCCAACCTTGGCCCTTACTGCAGCAGCTGCAACAGACTCCAGAGTAGTAGTTGTAGGAGGGGTCGAAATATCACCAGTGACTGCCATGTGAGCATTTCCCTTCTTATTTTTGAGTCTATTCGGCACAAGATGGGGATGAAACTTTCAACAAGTATGCTGCAGCAGACTACAGAGTAGTTGTAGTAGGAGGGGCCGGAATATCGCCAGTGACTACCATGTGAGCATTTTCCTTCTTATTTTTGAGTCTATTCAGCACAAGACGGGGATGAAACTTCCTATCAAGTATTTCTTGTGTGTTTAGGCTTCTTACAGTAGTCATAGATCAAATCCTTTTTGTCTTCCTTCTTGATTTCATTGTCATTCCAGTCTCCACCTTGTTTAGGTCTCATAGTGCTAACCATGGCTGATTGATCAAATGCAGAATCCTTCATCATCACATTTCTCCTACTCTCTTCCCCTGACACAAAGGCATATGCCTGGGAGAGAGTAACACTGTCCCTGGAAAGAATGTGTTGTCTTGCAATATCATATTCGGGATTAAGGCTAGCAAGAAATCTGAACACCCTATACTTCTCTAGGAGCTTCTATTAGGCAGTTGCGTCCTTAGTGGTTTCCCAAACAATTGTCTCCAAATGGTCAATCTCCTGCCACAGGGTTTTAAGGGCTGAAAAGTAACAACAATAGGTCTATCTCCCTGCCTTGTAGCAATAATCTGATTTCTCAACTGATAAGTCCTATCAACATTCTCCCTCTGTGAATAGGTTTCTGCAACCCCATCCCATATTTCCTTRGYTGTATTTGCCCAYAAAAAGTTTTTACTTATATGGAGCAACATGGAATTACACAGCCAAGTCATCACCATATAATTCTCCTGTACCCACCGAGAGCTGTTAGTTTTGGGTTTCACTTCTTCACCAGTGATATATCCTAACTTCCCATGAGCACCAATGGCCATCTTTGTAGATTGTGACCATTCTAAGTAATTCGAACCATCCAACTTAACTGGAGTAATGGTCCCAACCCTGAAAAGGTCTCTAGCATCTCCTCCCGCTGGTCCTATTTCACTCCCGGGCTTGTTTTCAACTCTGTTACCTTCCATACATCTCAAAAATGGGATAAAAGATTACTGTAATATGCAAGAATATCAAATAAATCACTTTTGGTACCAATGGTACCCTTCTGGTGCCCTAGATGGTCTGCCCACAAACAGGAGAAGAGAGAGAAGAGGCAGCCGCTCTCTCTAGAGACCTCCAAATCAGGCAGGACTTGAATCGCCCTCTATAGAAAACTCCAAGGAACCCTAAAAAATTAGGGCGCCACTTCCTAGGTCAAAACTAAAGAGTCCAACAGAAACAAGACTCTCCCCCTTTCTCCAGTTTTCCCTGATTTTCATGGGAAACGCTAGATTAGCTACAAGGCAAAACAGATCCACCAAAAAATCCAAACACTTGGTTTACCTGAGATCTTTGATCAGCCTCTTAAATCACCATGCAGTTGGCCGATCTAGGGCTGTATGAGAAAATAGCTGAAGGAACCTTCGGCCTGCTCTGATACCAAGTAGAAATCACTGTTTGGAAATCTAGATGAATACTTTGTGAAAAAAAAGAAGAAGAAGAAGATGAGTTTCAGCAATAGAGAAGAAAAGAGAAGAAAGAAAGAGTAGGATGTCAACCAGAATTGAATTAGTTATGGCCACCAACACCTCATTATATTTTATACTTAAAAGAATAAGAGATTACAAGAATGCCCTTAGTAGGGTGGCTTCTAAAGTAGCTAAATAGTCACAACTTAGAAAAATAAGCTAATGGGCCTAAAGCCCAACAACTTCCTAACTTAACAACTTAAACATATAAGAGTTAAATAATTGGGCCCAATAACTAGAAATCGGCCCAACTCAACACTAAGCACTCCACAATAGGTTCCAACTCCCTACCTTCCAAATTTAATCCCACCACACAATTCTTCTCAAAATTAATCTTCAGGTTAGAGGCATTCCCGAAAAGGGCTAAAAGACTCTTCAGATGCCTCACTCTTGTCAGGTCACTCCCCTCACAAAAGATTATTGTATCATCCACAAACTGGAGATGGGTGACTGGGACTTGATCTCTTCCCATTCTCCACCCCTTTATTGACCCAGTCTTATCTGCCTCCGATAAAAGTCGACTCAAGACATCAACAACTAGTGTGAACAAGAAAGGGCAAAGTGGGTCACCTTGTCTTAGGCCCCTGCAAGCCGGGAAGAAGTCATTTACTACTCCATTTACCAAAATTGAGTAATGACAAGAAGTAAGGCAACCAATAATCCAATTACACTCCAACAAGAAACTCCAGTCCATTAAATCATAAGCCTTCTCCAAGTCTAGCTTGCAGACAAAGTCTTGATTGCCTGATTTTCTCATCTCTTCTACACATTCATTTGTTATTAGAATTTGATCAATTATTTGTTGGCCTTGCACAAAGGCGCCTTGAGCTTTAACTGATATGGGAGGGGAGGACCTTTTTATTCCTCAAAGACAATACTTTAGCTAAAATCTTGTAGATGCTAGTCACCAGGATAATTGGTCTAAAGTCTTTAGGGTGTGTAGCCTCTTTCTTCTTTGGAATTAGAACAAGAAAAGTAGCGTCAACTCCAGGGCTAGTGACACAGTTATCCTCGAATTCGTTAAAAAGCTCAAGCAAATCTTTTTTCACAATAATCCAACAATCTTGATAAAAAACCATAGTAAAGCCATTTGGCACTGGTGACTTAGATCTATCCATTGAAAACACCACATTCTTAATTTCCTCCTCAAAATTCCTTTCCAACTATCTCTTATTCATTTTAGAAAGTCCTGGCCAATCCAACCCTTCCAACTCCTCTCTACTTCCTAGTGGTCTACTGGCCTCCTTAGGATGGATTTAAAGTGATCTACAAAACATCTAGCTATCTAATCATGAGATTCAACTTCCACACCATCCACTTCTAGCTTACCATGTTTTTTCTCCTCCCGTTAGCCACTTCATGGAAAAATTTAGTGTTCCCATCACCTTCGTTGATTCATTTGACCCTGGATTTTTGCCTCCAAGAGATTTCTTCCCGCAATAGGACCTCTTCTAGTTCCTGCTTTAATCTTTTTCTTGACCCCCTTTCTTGTTCATTCTGTGATTTAAAAGGCCCGCCTGAGGCGCGCCTAGCCACACAAACAAGGCACATTTTAGGGTAGGTGCCTCACCTAGGTCCTAGGCGCAGCCCTTTCATAAGGCGCATGCTTGGTGCACCTAGGTGTGCACTTGGTGTGTCTTGCGCCTTAGCCCAAGCGTGTGCCTTTTGAAAATTTGATGCTTTTTTGCTTTTTGTGTGTCTAGCGGCTGGGCTGGGGGCTCAGCCCTCGGACCCCCATGCCACGCCCCTCGAGGCAAGCCCAAACAAATCCACATTAGGTCTTAAATCCTTAGTTCTCACACAAAAAATAATGATTTTATAGTTTTACTTGCTTTTTAAGAAGATATTTTATTAGGATGAATGAATGAACAACACTCCCAAATAGGGGGTGTTGGGCTTGCCTCGAGGGGTGTGTCGTCCATTCATTAGCTACTTGAAGTAATATGTTTTACATCACATTAGCTACTTGAAGTAATGCAATTTAGAAAAAAAAGAGATTGTGGGTTTTATATGCTTGAAAAGGACTGCATCCTAACAAGAGCAATATATTGGCTGAAAACCTTGGAGATATTTGATTATTTTTCTTTTGATGACTTGTGGAGGAATTGGTTAGTAATAGCTAATACTTCTACAAAGAAGAATAAATGTTTATCAGAATGGGATTCGCCGTCAGAAGGTGTCATCAAGTTAAGTTTTGATGGAAGTAGCCGAGGTAACCCTGGGCCGTCAGGTATAGAGGGTGTCCTGATGAATAAGGACAGCAACATCATCTCCTTGTTTTCAGGACCGGTGGGAGTGCAGGTCTCTACGAAGGCAGAAATACAAGCTGCAGTACAAGGAATTCAGATCGCTAACCAGCTTGGGGTGGAGCATCTCCTAGTTGAAGGGGACTCTCAGGTGGTAACAAGGTGGCTTCTAAACCCGGATGCTACCATTTGGGGCTACAAAGACCTCATCAAAAAGTAAAGTGGTTAACTAGGAATATTAGTTTTGAGGTAAAATGGGTAAGTAGGTCAGCTAATACTATGACTGATTCTCTGGCTAAATAGGGGGTTTCTAGGGAGGTCCTTTTTTGTGCTACTTTGTAAGTTGTTATGATATATTGGAAAGTTGTACTTAACTAACCTGGAGAGGTTGCATCTCGTGCTTCTCCTTGGGACATTGTACTATTCTCCTTTGCTGATTCATAAATTTCGAAAAAATGTTCTATATATTTGATTTTATTTTTAAATTCTCATTTGAATATGCTTTACATGTTATATTTATGTATTTTAATTTTAGATAATAGGTTTTTTAAAACATTTATTTTAAAATTTAAGTTTATATTTTTATTAAGATTTTGTTTAATAATATTTTGATTTTTTAGCTTCTTTTTATTTTTTATGCCTTGCTTAAAAAGGCGCGCGCTTCACCTTGCGCTTTTAAAACACTAGTCCATTCAAGGTATTTTGATATTCCTTTAAATCTAGTTCCTGCTCTCTTCTTTTACCATTGAGCTGTTTAAACCATTCAAAACCCCTCTTTTGGCACCATCCATAGTCCCTTGAGCATAGGTCTTTGTAGGTGCCAGTCTAGTTTCTTCAGCCACACGTCTTTCATTTGCCATATTTCCATAAACTTTCGAATAGCCCAAGGCTTGTTTATCCATTTTGTGTTATCTCTGTCCAACCACTGATTCTCTAATCCCAAATTTCCATGTAACATCTGTGTTTCCACCCTCTCATCTTCTTCCTTTCTCCCCTCCTTCCACAATGCCACTTCAATGGAGGAAGCCAACCACACTGAGATAAATAATTCATCTACATAGAAAGTCACCTTCCTGGGGATCTTTTCTGGTTTAAGTCCACTCAAGAGAAGTGCTCCTTATCAAAGGTCCCCCCAAAATTCCCCATCAAGACGAGCTCCACATAAGACTGCAAAGGAGGCTGCAACCTCATGGGTCCAAAGATGGAAAGACAGCCCAATTACCCTAACTACCATCCCATCTTCAACTGTAAAAATTTTAGAGTTTGAGGATGGAATCCACTTGAAAACTCGGAGTTGTACTTTCTACCACATTGTTAAGAGGGTCGAGCACTGCTTTAATGCTATTAAAGGGGGTTAGTATGAAAGTGTTTCTAAGTTTTAACTTAAACTGCACAAGATTAGCAACTTCCTTCCAATAGGAGACTGGTCTCTTGGCTTCAACAACTACATGCTTTCCCAATAATCTTTCCTCCTGATAATAGTGACAGTGGGGTTGGTTGTTCTGTGCGCCATGGATGGGATGTCCTGTATAAGGCCCAGAAAATCAGAGGGGTGTCTGCTGCTTCGATTTCTTTAACCTCCTGATTTCCTATCTTCCAGTGGTTAAGAATAGCATTCAACTCTGCTGCTACCCTTTGCCATCCTTGACTCTTTTTACCTTCAGGAAAGCACACCATTTGTTTCGTCCCTTTGGCAAAAAACTCAGAAAGGGCAATGAAGGATCCTCTTGTATTTCTCTTGCACTCCAGTACATACCTTCTTGCTGTCAAAGTGAGATTTTCTTTCCGGCTTGGTCTCTTTTCCTTTACTGCAGCCTCAACCATAAAGTCCTTGAGCCATTCCACCATCTCTGAACCTTCTATCAAAACTGCTGCCAACTTCATTTCCCTTACCTTCAAACTGAGGCTCCCCTTGACTCTCATCTCCTCAAGCAGAAAGTCCTTAGCCTCCACTTTCAGAGATTTTCTCCAACTTGAGAATGTCACAAAGTTTACTTCTCCACCTTCGTTGCCTGCTCCACTCACAGCCCTCATTCAAGGCTTGAAAGTTGATTAGTCCATTGCTAAATACAGTATTATACATTTTATCATTATTTTTTCACAATCTGATAAACTTAACATTTACCATTTAAAAAAAGTATTTCCTATTTTCTTGCCAAAAGAAAAAGATATTTGGGCTCTGATATATTAAGTCTTTAACAGTATTTTTCATATTTCAAAGAAAAAAATGATTTGTTTTTCCCCTGCAATGCTGAAATTTCACCCCTTTGCTGTGTTGGTTATAGGGATCAAATAAATGGAACTTTGGTTCTTAAAATCATTGGCTCAGTTTTCTTTTTTTCTTTCTTTTTTTATATTGGAAATTTATTTTTTGCTGAGTAATGGCAACATGTTTGGTGCCATACCATTTTGAAGATTTGAATTTTTGATTGGTTTTACTGGTTTTGGAGAGCCGGACTGATGCTTTTTTGATGGAAAGAACTATTTATGTAACATTCAAAACATGGAAAGAACTATTTATGGTTGAAGCTGTCATTGCATTCATAAGTTTTTTTTTTTTTTTAAATCCATAGTCCATGATTATGCAGGATATGGAAAGTTGGTTTTGTTTTTTTCATTTTCATTTCTGTATGCAAATTAAGTGTTTCCACCTTTTTTTCTCTTTTTTGGCTTGTTATATGTTACTAAAATCATGTGTTTTCCATTAATGAAACATTTCCTGTTATCTATCTCATATATATATATATATATATATATATATATATATATATATATATATATATATATATATATTACAGAAGTCATTTGGCTAACATGGTGGATATGTTCCAGCCTTTGAAGGGAGTAAAAAAAACCTTGGTATTGCGGGAGATTCCAGAAGATGAAGTAAAAGGTTTGCTGTCTAAAAAGGAGTCGTTGGCAGCTTGTGACATAGCATTATTTGTCCATGATAGGTGACTCTTATCTGGTCTGGTTATTGGATTTATTTGTTCTTTACTGCTGACTGTAATATGTGACCCATGTTCCAACTATATGGAGTCATCTGCATGAATCCTGTTTCACTATTCTGTTCTGTTTTATGCCAAATGCAGTATTAAATTATGAGAATAATCTTTTTTGGGAGGAAAAGGTTAGGTGTAATTGTATTGCTGAGAAAAATGAAGAATCAATTATTTTACTAATAAATAATGTGGAATTTAATGTACTGTTTTCTTAAAGGGCAAATTGATGAGACTCGGTGTTTGATTACTACACTTTTCAGACATATGAAGTCTGAAAATTTTGCTTTTCAGATGCCCGTGGCATTTGGGTTCGGGTCCAATTAGAGGACCTGGTTTCATGTCTTACCAAAATCATCAGACACATTTCAGATGTGATAAAATGACTTTATAGCCCTCATTATTGTCATCTATTTAACAACAACAACAACAATAATAATAATAGTAGTAGTAGTAGAATAGTAATAATAATTTATTTAATATTGTTTACTACTACTACTATTATTTTTAGTAGTAGTAGTAAACAATATGTTTACTACTAATAATAATAATAATAATTATTATTATTATTAGTGATGATAATAATAATAATTTATTTAATATTGTTTACTACTTTTAATAAATCAATATTTTTATTAATATTTAGTAAATATTATTTCTCTATTTAAATAAATAATAATATTTAGTATTAATACTTATATAGTAATAAGAATATTTCATAATATGTTTATTAGTAATAATTTAAATATTTTTTATTTATTATTAGTTAATAATAAATAAATATTATTTAGTCAAATAATAAATAATTATTTATTTCAAAAAATATAATATTTGTTTGTTAATAGAATACTATTTTTATTTAGTATTCTTTTTATTATTTATAATATTATCAACCAGTCGATTTCTAAGGGTAAAATAGTAAACTTCACAATTTCAGATTTTGGAGAATTGCTCCAACTCAAATGATCTTATCTTTTGAGAACCTCTGAAAATCTGAAAATCATTTCTACTTTTCAGTTTTCAGACCTGAACAATATCTTTTTAACTTTTCAGATTTATCAAACGCCACCTCAATAATAATTACTAAATTGAGTGGGTAAAGCAAGCTAATTATATGTATGTGTATGTGTGTGTGCCACCCATTTTTGCATGCATGCATCCTTCTTCTGACTTGACAAGACACTTGAGAGTTGAGACATTTGCACCAATGATGTATTTCTCAATAGTGTAATTGGACTTAGTTTCGATGACAAACTTTATTTTGCTTCCTTTATTTTAATTTCCCTTAGTGATAACGGTTTCTTTTCCTATAATCACATTTTCCTCTTATTTTGTTAGTAATAACCTACAATGTTGTCTGCAATTTTAGTTCTGATGAAGCTTCTTGGAGGAGAGCTAAAGAATTACTTGTGGATGTTGCTAGCCATGGAGAGGATAGTGGCTTTGAAGTGCCTTGCCTTAGTGTTGTAGCTAAAGACGACCTTGATCCATATCCAACAGCTATAGAAGATATTATAAGGGTATTTAATTTGTCATGGATGTCTTTGTTCTTCCGAATGATGAGAAAATGAGATCCCCTATTCAGCATGCTTACATTTTGACTATGTATTGTTCTTTGCAAAAAAAAAATTCATGTTTTCCCATGGTTATTCTTTTATCATCCATATGATAAAAGGTTATCAGGTTTGTTAAGAACCCTGATTTTCAAGATCTTAGCATTATAGAACAAATAATAGTTACACCAGCTTGTTGGCATACATTCATGCAGGTGTTGCGGGTGGTCATATGGATAGATTACTGATTTTTGGATTTTTTTCATTTAATTATTTTTCTATCCCCTTTGTTTCCCAGCCTCTGATGCCTTGTCATTTGCTTTTGGTTTTACCTTTGCTTTTGCATCTTTTTTGGTTCTCTTCGTTTTGAACTGACTATTAAGTCTCTGTAGCTATAATATTTACCTTTGCTTATTAAATCGTTATTGCCTGAAACCGCATTGCTATGACAATTAGTTTTGGAAGATATAGTTACCTAGAATTTCTAATAATTATCTTTGATTATGATTCTGTTATTATAGGTTAGCCAAGACTTGGGAATAGAAACGCCCATCCCAGTTAGCATGAAGTTATTAGATTTTAATAGTATATTCCACGATATTATTAGTGTGGCAGAGCACCCACATTTGAGTATTCCAGAGACTGAAGCTGGCAGAAACCGCAAGCACTATCATCAGCTTGTTAATCGCTCTCTCATGTTTGTCTCAGGTTTGTTGGTTTATGGTTTAAAGAAAAAAAAAATCTTGTGATTGGGTTCTTCTCAGTTGGATACCTTAGAATGTATCCTCCAATAAGATTTGGATTGTTTTCGGGTTTTATAAAGATAGTTTCATTTCCACATTTTTCTAATTTTCTGAAGAGCTTCTGCAATGTTTCATACACCTTGCCATAATTTTTCCCTCTTTATCATCTTGGTGCTTTTTGGAAGGGTAGATTATTTGTTTGGATTTGTAGTATTTTGTAACTTTTTTAGTATTATATATATATATACATATATATAAAGAGAGAGAGAGAGAGAGAGAGAGATTTTGCAGTAATGCTTTTGTGCAATGAACTTGAGTGTACCCAATATCGGAAGCTTTAGGCTCTTTGAAGCCTTGTTATTAACAGAAGAAAAGAGAGCTTATTCTTTGTTATTTCTTACTAAAGCTCCATCTAGAACTCCCTTACTGGACCCCCCATCCCACAAAATAATTTGAGTTTTTATGATGACGGGTGGCATCTTATCGCTTAGTCTCCTAAGCAAGGATTTTTTTTTTATGTAAAAAACATAGATCCTAGGGTAGTTCCCTAGGTACCATAACCATATTTCCTTAATAGTTATTCATAAATTTTCATATGAAAAGTATAAAGATCATGTTAAAGTATGAAAAATCAACATATTCATGAGAAGAAAAAGAAGGAAAAGAAAATTCAAAAAATATTGGGGCTGAACCCTTATTTTTGTTATAGGAAAAGAAGAAAAGAAAAGAAAAAGAAGTACAGCATTTAGCAATGTTTGTGTTGATTAAACCCTAACAAATAAGAAAATAATAAAAAGACATTAGTATATAAATTATTTGTAGCATGTTGGCTGGGACCAACATTGGGTAATGGCCTTATTTGTAGCATTCTGCTGCTGCAATCTCTTCAAGGTCCTTGCTTCCGCAGGGTGGTGGCTGGGGAGTTAAACCAAGGAATACCATAGTGACACTGACACCCAAATACCAGATTATATATTTTTCAATTTTAATATTCCACTTTTGAGCCATAACCATTTGAAACACATACTATAACCCCCATTATGTTTACCGTTTACGTTTATTTTGACCCATTTTATGTACTAGGTTCTTGGGTCCAAGTTGTTTTATGTACTAGGTTCATTATAAGTTCCCTATAATGGAACTTATTATCAGATATTTAGATGTTATCCCATTGGTTTTCCCATTAATCTCGTGGCCTTCACATGGTTTCTTCAATGGGATTATTTATATTTGGCTAGCATGATCAATTTAAGTTAGATAGTGGCAGTTGCCTTAACATGTTTGTCAACTTTGTTTTATTCGGCATTTGTTCCGTCTCTTTTCCTGACAGTTTTCTGTTCCATGAAAACAGTTGGGGCTGCAGTTGCTATTGTTGGACTGGCTGCCTATCGTGTTTATGCTGCAAGGAGAAACGCCTCCAATTAAGAATTGAGCCTGTGGGCTGCTTGCTTCCGTTGCACAAGGCTGCTTTGAGGGGTGAGGCTTACTCGTTGAGGCTATTATTTAGCGATTTAATAAAAAAAAACATATTTTTGATGCATTTTTTTTAGTTAAAAATGGAAGAAGTGCTTCAACAATTATGAGCTAAAAAAATGAAAAAACAATTGGATATATCAAGTGAATTTTCTTATTATAATAATTTTATTTTTAATGGATTTATTTTCTTCTTACTGATTTTTTTGCATAGACCAAATTAACTAATTTATTTTCTTTCTTCTAAACTATTAAATGACCACACTTATAAGATGGATGATTCTTCATATGTTTCCTTTTCTCCAAATTGGTCATTTGAATTATTTAAGAACCTTGCATTTTTAAACATGAAATGTAAAGTGATTATAATTGTTAGTTGGTTTATTATTATTTTGTTTAATGCTTAATTGAAGAAACTTATTGCTTATAAATTTTTATTTTATTATTCTAATTTAGCCAAGATGTTGCCCATTTCATCTCTTGTTGTTCAAGCAATTTAGGTTCCCATCCACGAGAATCAATGACCTTCTTTATGGTTTTTCTGCACACAAGGTCATTGATTCTCCTCCCTTAACGGTGAAGATAAGCACCAATTGAATGATAAAGGTTCATATCAATGGCAACGGCAATTTTCAATCCGTGCAAGCTGCTATCAATTTTGTTCCGGAAGGGAACTCCCAGTGGATCATCATCCATGTTCGGAAAGGAGAGTACAGGTATTTTTTCGACTACCATACTTGATCGATCAAACGGTAATTTTCATAGCTAGGCCGGAAGGGCGTCCATCGTTTGTTATCAAAGCTCCACCGACAACGTCAAGTCTGCCACTCTCTGGGTGGAGGCCCCCCACTTCATTGCCTCCAGCATCAACTTCAAGGTTGAAGACCTCTCTCTCTCTCAGCAGTTTTCTTCCTCTCCCCTCTCTCACCGATCTCTTTCTCCTTTTTCTCTCTCCCGCATGAAACCTACCATTGTTGTTGCTGCTGCTATGACAGACGATTTCTTCGTCGGCATGTTGTATCATTGTTTTGGCTCAAGTGGTCACCACCATTACAGCTATAGGAAATCTTCATTGAAATGAGAGAGAGCAGTTTAAATTATGTGGGCTTCGTGCAGAAACCAATTGCAGGGATGCCAACAGAGCTGCCCGTCTGTAATCAAGTGGGAACAATAACGGAGTTTACACCACTCCAATCTAACATCATATATCGAATTTCTAAAATCGTACAAGCTACGGGCGAATTCACTTTTTTAATAGAAAATCCAAAATTTTCTTTAATGTGTGATGTACACTTGATATGTAATATTTATAATGTTATTTGATGCAAAAACAATTGACTATTAGTGTATGCAAGGACAATATCTGATTGATTCAAACAATACACCAAGTATTCAAGTCTACAAATATAGAAAGCAAAGATCTAAGTATTCAAGTCTACAAATATAGAAAGCGAAGATCTTAGTCATGGTGCCTTCATGGACACGTCTCCACGGACAAGCTTTTGGTTAGGATGAATAACTTGGGTTTGAATTTTGAAATGATATGAAGTCAGATCAATGTTAAGAGAACCAGACCGGGCATTGAACCGAAGAAGGGAGAGGTTCATGAGTCATAAGTTCGACCAAAGTCGAACCTTGATGACATGACATATACATATATATACTATGGATCATATAAATACTATATAATGTATTTTGCAATTTTTAATATGCTTAAATAATGGTAGATAGACGGTAAGTTACTTAATTTTTAAAACAGTGACTAGGGTTCAAACCTTTTAATTTACATTTTGGTCTGGCAATTTTAACCCCAACCCACTTGGCCCACTCATTTGAATAGTGGGTCAGGAAACAATGTAAAATACATTGTGTTTCAGCTTGATATTGTCATTGTTTCAAGGTATTATGATAAAAAAAATCAATTATCGAAGTGGAAACAATGTAAAATATTCATTTTACATAAAAAAATGATTTTTTTTACATTGGCACAATCTAATATGAATTTTTGCAGTTTCTGATTTTTTTCAAAATATTTTTTGAAATTTTATCATTTTCTTGTTTTCCTACATTTCTTTTACTTTTTTGCTATAATATATAGATTTTTTATTATTCTATCATTTTATGTATTTTTCAGTTTCTGTTTTCATCCAAATTTTATATTTTTCTGAGTTTTGTCTTTTCCAATTTACTTGTATTTTTTTTCTGCAATTTCTGATGTTTTTCTTTTTGTGTGTGTGTGTTTTTGCAATTTCTGGTTCACAGCCACATCCCACGCTGTATTGGGAATATCTCTCCATGAATATCCCGATGTGCAGCCAAGACAGACTGTGAGGTGAGTGTGAGGCGTGCTGTGAGGAGCAGATCCGAACTCTTTAAAAAGTGGATGATTTGTCAGCCATGAAAACACCATCTCCATATTCCTGTTGAGCACCTCTTCTTCTGATTTATGCCTCCCTTCAAAAATCCTATTATTTCTTTCACCCCACACTGCCGAGAAAACAGCAACGGGGAGGATACCCCAAGCTACTTCACATCGGCCGGGAAGCATAAATTAACTCCAAAAAGCTCTAGAAGTCTAGTCCAAACCCTAAGTGAAGTCACATAATATTCTCTACACTTCCATTATGTGCATTCCAGATCTGCCCCTTCTATTTCTCTTCTAGCTAAGTTCTTAGTTAGAATCTTATCCAGCACTACAGATCAAACAAAGCTAACTTCGATGGTACATGCCTGATCTAGATCCTGTTACTCGGAAAGTGAGAGGTATCCCTTGATAGGAAGTTAAAAACTGACTTCACTGAGAAGGAGCCGAAATTCTCTTACAACCATTTCCTTTTGTCCTCCCTTGTTCCCGGAATCTTGGCAACATACAAAATCTGCAGCAAGTTGACCAAAGACCCTCCTCCCAGCCATTCAAATTTCTCCTGAACAGAGAGTTCCAGGTAATATGACCATTTTGCCTATCCATATAATCGGCCATTGAAGCTTCCTTATTTACAGCTATCTCGAACAGAGTAGGGAATAGGGTAATTAGGAGGCCATCCCCACACCAGTAATCCTTCCAAAAAAGTACTCTATGACCACTTCCCACTTCATATTTTATGCCTTTGAAGAACTGAGGCCGAAATTTTTGGATAGCCTTCCAAACTGAACATCCATAGGGGGATCTTACATCCTCTGCCCCACGCTCCCAGCTACTAGAACCATAATCTTCTCCACAAACTGTCAGTGCAGTCGTTGAATATACATAGCCATTTCCTAGCAAGGCTGAGTTGACATCTTTCACTGAACCATAATCTTCTAAATATCTTATGCATTCTATAATTCTCCAATTCTCAACTTTATTGAAGTTTCAACAAGAAAAATGTTGGCTTAACAGTTCAAGTATCTCAAGTTAGCAATTTGTGAGGCTTTGACTCTTAGAGTTGAAATGCTTCAATTGTTGAAATCAAGTTGGGATTCTGAACCGGCAATCCGGGTAAGTGTAAATAAATTAATTTTTATCGTTTTTTGAATTAAAAAAAAAGGGGTTGGCTCCTTCCAAAACCAATTCCCCAACATGTTCAATGCCAACGATATTCAGTCACAACATAATAGTATTAGCACCGATATGGATGCTATTGATATTCACAGAACATCCACCCACAATACTAATACTAGGGAAAATAAAAAAATTGTCATTAAGTTGATTAGCCCAATTTGGAAAATATTTAAAGTATAGGAGGTTCAGGGGAAGGGAAAAATAACTATTTGCCAAAAATGTAGAAAGAAAAGGCTTTAGCTATGGCACTTAAACATTCTCAAGAAAAAAAAAATGAGACAATAATACCAAAATACATTATACATGCTGAACAACCATTTTTGTTAGTTGAAGATATTAAACTTGAAAAATGGTTACATAATTTTGTAAATCCACAATTTAAAAAAGTTTATATGAATACTATTAGATCAAATGCTTTAAAATTTTTTTATTCATATAAACAAAATTTAATTTATATTTTATCAAATATAAAGTTGCAATTATTTCTAAATCTGGACTTCTAAATTTAACATAAGTTATATTTGTGTTATCCGTCATTTTATTGATAAAAATGGCTTTTAAATATAAATTTTAATAGGCTTGAATGGCCACACATTGGCCCATCTATTGCTGCAAGTGCTTTAAATACTTTACATGCTTATGAAATTGACAATAAATTATTTTATATTAGTTTTGATAATGCTAGTAATAATGATTCAGCAATAAATATTTTAAGATCTTAATTAAAACCATGTTTAAATGGTAATTATTTTATATTAAATGTTTATGTCATTTCTTAAATTTATGTATTTAGGATGCTTTAAATGTTACACACAGATGGAATTCTTCCTATGCTATATTAGAAAGTTGTATTTCTCACGAACAAATTCTTAATGATTTTATGATGCAAAATATGCCTAGTGATATTATATTTGAGGAGGATTGGGAAATAACAATTTGTATAATAGATTTTTCAAAATATTTTTATAATGCAACTAATGAATTATCGGGTATTTATTATCCAACTAATTATAATTTAGCTTATCAATTAATGATGATTAGTGATTGTTTTGCAAAATATAGAAAGAATCCACAATTTAAAAGTATTGTTGAAATAATAGAAAATAAATTTAAAAAATATTGTGAGAGCATTTATACTCGTTAATGCTTAGATACAATATTAGATCATAGGATTATGAAAGATAGTTTAGATATTTTACTTGAAACATATTGTGAAAATATGAATATTGAAATTAAAAATAAAAAGAAGAAATTAAGGGTTTGTTCGTTTGCTCTGACGTCTAACCTCCAAAACTGCAATAATTACATTAAGAGGTATATTGGCATTGGTGAACTTTTCTTTTTCTGAACTCTTAATGTAGAGAATATTGTTCTAAATTCTGAAAAAATGTCAAATGTCCAATTTTACCCCATATAAGAGAATTTTTATTTATTTATATAATTCAATAAAAAACAATATTAAAAATTATTATAATAAATATTACCCAATATTAATTATTAATAGTAATTAATTAATAACAAATCAATGATTAATTCATTAATTAATAATTAATTATTTATGATTAATTAATACTTATTATTAATAATTAATATTTATTACTAATAATTAATTAATAATAAGTAATAGTAATTGATTATTACTTAATTATGAATTGTTATTATTAATTAATTAATTAATGAAATATTATTACTAATTAACAATTAATTAGTAATTAATACTTAATATTAATAATTAATAATTCATAATCAATTATTAATTAATTCAATAATTACTCATCACTAATTATTAATTAATCATCAATTATTTATTCTTATGATTAAATAATACATGTTTTTAATAATTAATATTTTTATGAATAATAATTAATTAATTATTAATAAGTAAAAATAATTAATTATTATTACGATTAATTAATAACTATTATCAATAATTAAATAAAATAATATTAATAATTAATATTTAATTAGTAATTATTAATTAATGGAATTGTATGGTGATAATTAATATTGTAATTAATTAATTTATATTAGAATATTACTATAACATATTATAATGAATATTGTAATATTAATCATTAATTTGTAATGTTAGTAATATTATATGATTATATTATTAATATTATATTATTACTATTCATAATCGTTAATACTATTTAATATAAATAATTATTTGTTTCATTATAATATTGTAATTGGTAAATAATATTCTAAATAATTAGTTATAATAATTAATATATTATTAATAACACTATAAGTCGATAATGAGTAATATTGTTAATGAACTATTATTATGATAATAATATAATATGAATATTATGGTATATTATAATATTACATTATAGTAATATTATAGGGAAAATAAAATATTGGTGGTGGGGTACGATTGGTCTTCATACGAGATGTTATAAGTTAATTGAGCATTAGAGGGGCAATATGGGTATAATCTATTAAAATAATGGCTTGAGCCATTTGTACTTTAGCTATAATTAGACTTCAGTGTTAAGAGCCACCGAACACCTTTTTAGCATTGAAATTGGTACGAAACCACTTCAGCGTTAAGTGATCAGAGGCATTGAATAGGGCCTAATAGTTTATTATTTGAAATGTATATTTCATATATATCTGAAGTAACAGGGAATAATAAAAATTCTACAACTTATACAGTTGCATCTTCCACTTTTGAACTTTAGTCCAGTAGTGGAAAAAAAATTATT